AGTTTAGACTACTTACAAAAAATATTTATTACTTATCATTTCTTGATATAATGTAGTGCTGGTCTTATAAACATATTATGTGTATGAGGCACATATCGCATAGTATCTCTCCAAATATACCTAGGGCAAAAAGATGGGAGCCACTGAAGAATTATTATGACATAATAGTTTAGACTACTTACATTTCAGTTGTTCAACAATCCGAAAACAACACTGACCATTTCAAAATTGCATTGCTATTTTGGCTGTTGGACAACCGAAAATGTGACATTTGGGATGTTGAACAACCGAAAATAACAGTCGAAAATATCATATTTTTGATTGTTCAACATCCGAAAATGTCTCATTCGGTTGTTAAACAACCGAAAATGTAACAATGACCATTGTAAAATTGCATTGCTTTTTTTGGTTGTTGAACAACCAAAATTTGATATTTTCGGCTGCTAAACATCCGAAAATGTGGCATTTTTTAATGTTGAACAATCGAAAAAGTGACTGCTAATTTCCAGCAAGCTTCTGAAATTTGCAGTCACATTTTCGGTTGTTCAACAATCGAAACTGTGATCTTTTCGGTTTTTCAACAATCGAAAATTGACATTTTGATGTCCAAAACTTGAAATCGATTTTTTTTTCTAATTTCCATGCATATTGATGTCGAGATAATCAATTTGAAGATATTGAGCATCAAAACAACCTCTTCTACTGAAAGTTTTGAGATAGGCTCAAATTTGATTGTTTAGGGCCTCGGCTCTATATAGTGAGTTTGAATTTTTAATTATTTATTGCAGTTATTATTCAGTTTGAAAATACTGGTTTTGGTTGTTGAACATCATTGACCTCTTAACGATCTGTATATAACACCAAGTACAAAAACACAAGATTGACAACACGGAATTCAATCTATTCATTAATGCATCAAATTGATAATTCGATACACAAACACAATATTGATAACACTGAATTCACTCTATCGGTTCTCTGCAAGTCCTTCTATTATGACTGACTGCGCCGCATTGTTTGCACTTCAAAGGCCTGGTGATGGACTGTTCGGTCTCAGATATTTTTCGTTGCTTTTTTGGCCTACTAGAAAGGCGTGTCGTCCTTGGTGGCAATACAGGTCGGTTGAACATACCTGTCAACTCAATATCATCAGGGACAAGCCCAAAGGGAGTTTCAAAGGCCTTTTTAAAGTATTCCACTGTGAAGTATGCAATGGGATCCAAATGCATATAGTTAATAGCCACGATGGCATGACTATGCGGTATGCTACAGAGTTGTCATTTTCTACAACTGCACGTCCAATGAGTTAAATCGACATCGTACTTCTTCCCAAGATAGTGATTCTCAAATTGCGTGTCCATAACAGATATAACTGTGTGAAAAAATATTGCCTTCATCTTTCGCAAGTCGAGTGATTATTGGGCTTTCGTTATTAGTATGCCACTCCAACTATTACTTAACTCCTTATTCTTTTTAGACCTGGTCATCAATTGTACCCTTATTTCTTCACACATTGTAATGATCTGCTTCTCTCGAGCAGATAAAATCCAAGCATTGAATGACTCGGCCATGTTTGAGGTAAGATGATTTTATCTTCTCCCTGAAAAATAGGCATTTGCCTAATATTTGGGAGGGATATTCTTAATCCACTCATATGCCTATAGGTCAGCACACTGTATATCAAACATTATTTTTTCAAACCCACTAATGTTCGCTTTATGGGCCGCCTTCCCAAACAACATCAACAATACTTCGGTGTTTGCTGATTTCTTCATAAAGCCCTTGAAGTTCTCTCCCGTAGGTCGCATGCAAAATGCTGGAAAACAAGTGGGAAAACATTTCTCTATTGCTTTTGGCAGGCTTTTCTGTCGATTTGATACAATTGTTAAGGCATGCAGATTAGGAAACTCGTTCAATAGCTCACTCAGTATACTTAAGCACAAATACCAACTCTGGTAGTTCTCCTTCTCGACCACTGTAAATGCCAATGGGAAGAGCCCATTATTTGCGTCTATGGCGATGGCGCACAATAATATGTCTTGATTTAATCTTTTTAAGAATGTCCCATCAGTACCCATTAGTGGCCTGCATCCATTAACAAAATCGATGATGCATGGACGAAAAACAATAAATAGTCGTTTAAACCTGCCTTCGTCTGTGTAGATGTGAACTTCGATTCTCGAGTTAGTTCTTCGGCGCTTCTCCATATATAAGGGGAGGTTATGGTATTGTTGTTCATGTGATCCATCTATTATCTCTCTAGCAACTTTTTTTCTTTGTCAAGATTGCATGTAGGAAAACTTGACACTGTGATCGTATTGGATATCCTTTACGATGTCTTTCGCCTTAATTTTTGGTTGGTCAATAAGAACGCCTTTAATTTTTTTTGCCACCCAATCACTATGAGCTAGTGGCTGATGGACCCTCCTCATTAGACCACTACATGTGTGTTCCTTAACCATCGACTTCACTTCGAAGTTTGTCATACTGCCAACTCGTAAGCACCACACCGCACTTGCCATGTGCATCCCTTTGCCTTACAACTTGCCCATACCCATCCCAATTCACTTTTGTCAAACTTCAGGACAAAATTTATTGTGGATAGAAAAATCAACTAGATGATGCCACATTCATTGATATTTTAAAAAATTGCCCAATTTCAATTGAACCTCCTTACCAACTCCTCTACATGGGCTCTCTAATGATTCAATATCCTTCATATCACGCTTTTGGTACAAGCTCAGGGTCAGGCACCACTTCAACGTTTTAATCTGGATAAAGTAAATGAGCGTTACAACGACTGTTGACAAAATATAGAGTGTAAGATGAAGCAACAATTTATGCACATAAAATATTCAAATAAAGCAAATTAGAGATAAAAAAGTAAATTGTAGATATACATATTCCTTGAAGATGAGCCATCACCAGCAGATTCTATAGTTGGGAATTCCATATATCTCCGTTCTGGCTCTATTGCAGAGGCAATACAACAATACTCGAAGACTTCCCTCCCAACGTAAAAGATACATTTATATCATCAATTACATCAATCAATGCAAGCCCCACTAGATAGACTTGTGTTGTGGTGCATAATAGCCAATTTCTTTGGATCACATAATGTTAAACTACCAAAATGTCTTTTTAGTTCCTCCAAGGAACTATTTCCATTATACTTCATAATCTTCAATTTTCCCCCTTTATAAACCACACGTCCTCATCTGTATTCGTCTCAAATGACCCCCCAGATCAGAATACCAGTTGCACTCTCTCGGTAACCATCGTCAATGCTATTATATTAAATGAATAGTTTGTTCGTGTTACAAAAAATCAATACAATAAGGAATAAAAAAAATTAGATATTTCTAACTACTAAAATGTGAGTATTACATAATAGATTAAAATAGTGTACTCCTAAAAAAATTCAACTAATCAATAAACAACAAAAGCATCAAATACTAAAACAAACACAAAATAAACAACAAATACAATATAGTGTACTACTATATGTATCAATATAATACAAACAACAAATAATTATACAAAGACAACTTCAACAATATTTAGCAAATATTATTTATTAATCCACAATATACAACAAATACTAATAAAAAAATATAATATTGCATTAATTGTATCAAAATTAACCAAAATTAATCAATAGCATAAGGAAAGAGTAAGAAAGGTACCAATCACGACCAAATAAAGAGCCAATCTCTTCAACTTGGTGGGATATTGTATTGGGGGATAGTAAAGTGCATAGAATTGGGCACAAATTTTTTTTTCCCTAAATTATCAAAAAAAAAGAACTCCTTCCCACTAATAAGAGTGAACTTTTCCCACCAAAACTTTCGATTATTCAATAACCAAAAATCGTAAATTGTCGGTTCTTCAATAACCGAAATTAGTGTATTTTTTGTTGTTGAACAACCGAAAATACATTGAACTAGATTGTTCAACAAGTAAAAAAGGGTAAAGTCATCTTTTTTTAATATTTCCATTTTGACATGAAAAAAACGGATACGATAGTAATAACAAAAACTATTCAGAAGAGCCGTAATAACACAAACTATAACGGATATGTATGTAATTTTCTCAAAAAAAATATTGGGGGAAAATTCTTTAATAATGCTTATTTTTAGATATATTAGCTTAAATTTATCTTAAAAATAGTAGGGAATTGATTAGTCATTAAGAAAAAAAGCTGCAAAGTCTTTTTCAAATTTTTAGGTAAAAAAACAGGTAAAGACTAGCATGAATAAGAACTAGCCCCTTAAGGCTCATTGCATTCCACGTCACCCCCAAATGCACAATATATTTTGAGCACATGACCTATGCGCCTATTAGAGAATATTGTGTACGTACTCCCTAAGCCAAGAGACATACTTAAAGAGGATTTTGTTAATTTGAGAACCACTTAAGAATTATTAGATAATTATTTTTAAAAAAAAAATAATTAATTTTGAAATTTGTAATACTTAGATTTCATCTTTCGCAATTTGGACAATTTTGTTGAATCCCAATACTTTTTTTTCAAGGGCACATTGCGAGTGCAATTTAGAACATCTTTATTTAAGTTAATCTATGGTTGATAAGTTAATCTATAGATTGAATGTATAGTTACAACTACTTATTTTAAAATCTAAGAGACAACTCGTACAAAAGATAAATGGTCTATTTACAATCAATCTCATTTTTTTAAAGAGATTGTATACAATGATACCTTGATAGAAAGAAGTTGCAATCACTTTTAACCATTTGATCATAAATTTGATAGTTGAAGTACATCATAAATTCCGAAAAAAACTCTTTTAAAGTTTGAGCTTGGTCATTGAAATAAATGAAGCCATCTAATTTTACATCCAAATGTCAAGTTGAATTGTGTCTCGCACGAATGGAATCCTAATCACGTGCACTCAATAGAGCATCCGCACTATCCCGCCGCTGCTGCCATGTCAGCTATTTCCCTCCAATCGTTCATATATAGAGAGGGAAATGCGTCGTTGGTGCAGTGGATCGCCCCTTACACCAGGCTCCCCGAACGACCTCTCTCTCTCATGGACCTCCCCACCCGCCATGAATACTCAGTTACAGAGAAACTAGAAGTCTGGCTCCGACCCATTTGATAAACCCGGAGCTTCAGGCCAAAGCTCGTCTCTATCTCTTCGTCTCAAGAAAAATCAGGGGCTTTAGGTAAGCGTTTGATAATCGTGTAAAGCGTTGAAAGTGCCCCCACTTTCTAATTCTCATAGTTTTGGGAACAGGAAATACGGGGACAGTCGGAACACAGCTTCTCCCCGTTCACTGCTCCCTTTAAGGAAAGCTGCCGCTCAGGGTTACCTGTGTGGGGCTGCTTTCAGTGAAAATCACAGCACTAGTAAACCCTAAAAAAAAGCCAGAGCACCTTGAGATTTTGGGAGCTGAGTACCTTCAGCACTACTAAACCCTAAAACAAAGCCAGAGCACCTTGAGATTTTGGGAGCTGAGTACCTTCAGCCATTGAGCTTGCCGCTCGATGAACTGCCCTTTCTCTTGCCCTATAGCCTCTGCATCGACAATCAATCGAAAATCGGTGAGTACGTTGAGATTTTTTTACTGTTTATTGAGGCTGTATTTTCCTTGAAATCCTGGCTTCTTTTTTTTGTTTGAGAAATTGTCAACTGTTACTGTGGTTCTGCTTCATTCTGCCATTCTCATGAGTTCATCAGTAAAATTTTCGAGTCTTTATTTCAGCAAATTTATTTGCCTAGTTAATCTGCTTAGTGTGGTTTCTTTCATTGGATCTGGTAGAGGTTATTAATTTGAAAAGATAAATGGGTAGATGTTATAATAGTTTGTGATCCATGGTGTGAATTGGAACGCACCTTTCATTCTCGTGCACACATCTGGCATGGAATGAGATATTAAACCTACCTCAAAGTGGAATTGGGAAAAATTTGTGATGTTTCTTGGTAAAGAAAGTGAGATCATAAAGATTGTTGCACTGCCAACAGATTGGAAAAGTGTTGGTCAGGTACTTTGGAGCTTTGCACTCCAATTCTGAGAGTTGATTCTCTTTGTGAAATTTTGCAATTTTGTATAGAATATTGATGAATTTTGCTGTTACAAGTATCTGTAAGAGGTGATTCTGTTGTAATGATACCTAGAATACACTGAAACACTGAAGTGCCTTTTTTCTTTTAATGTTCTTTTAGCTATCCATAACTCTGAGTCCCTATAGCTTGGAAAACAGGAAAGTAACCTCAAGTATGTTTTATTTTATTTGTGATATTTACGCTTTGGACTGGTTCTATGCTGCTTTAGGCCCTACAACAACTTTGTACACAAGAAACTTTATTTCTGGTGTAATCTACACATCAGATCTCAGAAACATCATCATACCACCTGAGTAGTGAGTTAAAGAGAGAAAAATTATCAATATTTATACCTTGTACTGTGGATTGAGGAAATCGGACTGCTTGGGCACTGTCCACTCTACCTCATAATAAAAAAACGATCAAACCAATATTGAATGTATAGTTCAGTTAGTATGTGTTCATCACAATTGCCAGCTAATTGGGGCTCATTGCAATTAGAACCTTGTGATCCCTGTTTTATCTTTTCAGCAATTGACATCCAAAAGATGGGATATAATGAACAACCATCTAACAATGGTCAATACCAAACTATGTTTAGTGGTTTGTCATTTGAACCCATTAATACGTGTTCCAGCAGAAATACAATTTTTGTTTTGTTTAGAATGTTGCAGCAGAAATATATTCTTCATTCATTTTTTGTCTCATGGATTCTTATGCTATTAAACATTTGATATTGATGCTTGAATCTATTTACATGTCTAAGCACAATAAAGTATTCCTTGAATCTGTTTGCATGTTTGGTATTATATTGGGTGAATGGAATGAACCTTATTTAATTACAAACTATTATTAAGTAACTGCATTTTGTACATCATATCAATGAAATATATAATGAACAATATTACAGGCAGTTTTCAGCTTTCCCATTACTAAACAGGTGAAAATGCTAGCACCATCGTTTAACAAACAGGGTTTTCCCGCTTTCACACTACCAATTTTCACCAGCATCCAGAATCTAGGAAAGTTAGCCTTGGTGATTCCCAGGGAGAATGCAATGAAAGTTATCAAATGCTAGGTAGCGTTTGCTAACCGTGTAAATGGGTGTAAAGGGGGGAAAGTATCGAATTTCCATGTACTGTATATTGATCGTGTTTGATTAATAAAATAGGGGGGAAAGTCGGAACTACCTTTTTCCCCCTTTCTAACCACGCAGGGGGTTGGGTGAGTGGCAACTTTCCCCCAAAATTTCGTTCCGACTTTCTCCCCATCAAAAACCGTAGCGAGAGACTTCTTCGCTCTCCCTCGCTTCTAACTCCCTCTACTACGAGCCTCTCTTCTCTGTCCCTCTTCGAGCCTCTCTTCTCTGTGCTCTCTCTCTTTGAGCAACCTGTGGGAGTAACCTCTGCGAGCAGAACTGCTACCTCTCTCTCTCTTGGAGTGCGCGAGCAAATTGGAGCAACCTCTCTCACCCTATTCGAAGTCAGCAGCTCTCTCTCTCAACAAAATTGTAAATAAAATTATGTTAGGAAATTTTGATTCTCCTATAGACAAAATTAAAGCAAATCTGGTTAATTTATGGAAAACTATAAAAGCAATGTTTTTGTGTCCTGATTTATCATAGTAATTTGTAAACCTGAAATCTATGGAAACCCTAGATTGGTGAGTCAACATTAATTTTTTTCTTTGATTTATAGTTTTTAAATCACTGTAGTTCACTTTGATTTATCAAAATAATGGCCAATGACTTGATAAACTATAAAAAGAATGTTTTTAAATCACTGATTTATTTTGGCTCTCCAAAAAGGGTTTCAAGTTGCCAAGAAAAATTAATTTTTTTTTGCAGCCTTAAATATTTGTATTTTTGTAGAAATTACTATTGTTCATTCAAAGTTCTACGCAGTATAACATGCTAGTTTAAAGCTCAAGATGCTAGCTTTTGATCTCAATTGATCGATTTCTAATGGGATTAGTTGTTATTAACTTACAGTTTTATAGCCATTTTTTGGGTTGTTAGCATTTGATGAACTCAACAGTATGATAATTAACTTCCTCTTAGAATTTTGTAATTTTGATGACTTTCTATTAGAATTTAAAAAATGAGCCAATTTATTGTTCATTTGTTGGCTATTGATCTTTTGGTCATGATAAATTGAGGGAGCAAATATGTGATGATCAATTCCCAAAGTGTTTAAGATAGGGCTTTCATGGAAGAGTTGAGGGTAGAGAAAGAGTCATGGCTTTCCATCTCTCTCGCTATTATTGAGTTTAATAGAGGATTTGTGTAATTGTGAGTCAATAAAGAGAGATAAGAGACAGAAAGAAGTGGTCTATGCAAGCGTTGGTGATATAGAAGATAGTGAGAGGTTAATTGTCTCTGTTAGTGAAATGCAATTGGAAGGAGTCTCTTTAATAGCAAGCTGACCCTGTTAGTGAGAGATTGGCTGTCTCTGTTAGTGAAATGTTGTTTGTGATACTGCATGCAAGCTGCTGTCTTTTGTTAATTGAAGTGATGAGGGGCAGTGTATTGTTTTCTCCTTAGATTTCTTGTGTAGAGCCATCTGAGTATGTAATTACTATACAAGTTTATAAATTGGTTTGTCAAGTTCTCTTGATATTTGTTGCTCTACATTGGTGTTATGTGTTGCAATTAGATTGTTGGATGTGATACTGCGTGCAAGCTGCTGTCTTTTGTTAATTGAAGTGATGAAGGGAAGTGTATTGGTTTCTCCTTAGATTTCTTGTGGAGTCATTTAAGTATGTAAATTACTTTACAAGTTTGTAAATTGGTTTGTGAAGTTCTCTTGATATTTGTTGCTCTATATGAGTGTTATGTGTTGCAATTAGATTGCTGTCTTTTGTAAATTGAAGTGATGAGGGGCAGTGCATTTCCAAAACCAGAGAAATCAGCGCTTGGTCGCTCTGCATTTCCAACACCCGAGAAACCCATCGAACCTCGACGAAGATATGGGACAAAAAATGTCTCTATTTCTTCGAAGGAAGTTGAGAAGATTGGTTCTGAGACCTTTAAATTGACTAGAGGTCAAGAGAATGTACCTTGTTTTGAAGGATCTCATCTTGATCAGGCTGGAAAATCCACATTGAGATCTAACAAGAATAAAGGGATGAAGCTCCCAGAGAAGTGAGTAGCATTTGGTTTATTAGACCCAACAATTTGCGTTTGTCTTTTGCAGAAATTCAGTATCTTTTGGTTGATTTTTTGGTTTTAATATGGGGAATGCCTTTATTTTACCATGATAATCCTATCAGATATATACTGATTTATGTATATATTTTCCTTTTGTCTTGATCTCATAGTTGAGCACTGGCAAAACGACCATTTTGATCAGACTATTTTTCTTTCATTAATACAATTAGTGGGTATATTTACCATGAATATCCAAGAAACGAACAAAATTAGAATAACCATGAAAGCAATGTGATATTTACTATGCTATTGGATTTTCTCTTTGGAATGAATTAAGTACAGTTATCTTGAGTGTTTTCATGATGGATTGAAATTATCGATGTTTTTGGGAAAAAACTAGCTGAACTTAATTGGGTTTTTATTCTTTTTGATGAATTGATTAATTTTTATGTTCTGAAACAGATACGAGATGCTGGCTGAATTTATGGAGAGCATGGAGTGCTCCATAAGATTGCTGCGCCTTAAGAATACCATCACTTCTTTCACCAACATTTGGTCTCAGGTCGAAACCCTCACCAAAAGGTAACACATTTATATGCTTAATGCCCTTGGAAATACTCTCTAGTTTGTCTTATTTTATCTAAAAGTGGTTTATTTATTGCTAAAATTCTAATTAGTAAGAAACAAGTTAGGGCTCTTGTCTTATTTTATCCAAAAGTGGTTTATTTATTTGTTAAAATTCTAATTAGTAAGAAACAAGTTAGGGCTAATTTGTTTTCAAAACCCAAATTTTTGGCATGGTCCCCTGATGAATAGAAAATCGGAACCCCACACCTCAATCCATAAGTTTGCATCATTGTTTCTTTGTAATTTCCTTTTTTGGGGTAATCTTTTATGCATGTGTGCATTTCTCTTTTGCCAATATGATGTATTATTTCCTTATTTCAGCTGAAATCCCTCTCTCTCCCCATCCCTCCCTCCCTCTGATCCCCATATGATATCTTATTTCCTTATTTCAGCTGGATACATTTTCTTACACACACTCTATTGAATTATTCAGGAGGTTTACATATGCTCACCTAGTGCAGATGAAGTACATAATGGGTGCTGGAATATAGCTTAAGAAGATACTCTCCCATGATGAGAGGACTCTTTGCATGAAGCCTGATCTTCTTATTACTCTTCAGCCCAATGCACTGAAAACTTCCAGCAAAACTCAGAAATTAGGGATTGTATTTTTTATTTTTAGGAGAGTATTTCGTGCCAGGCTCTCAGAGTTCTTTGAATTCCACCCTAAGATAATCTAATCTTGCATGACATCTTGTTTGTTGTTATATAATGAGAAAGAATGTTTGTTTTGGTATGATTCTTTTTTCTGATGATGCTACCTATAGTTTTCACTTTGAATGCTTCCTTAGTTTTTTGCTGTTTTAAATATATTTGAGAGTATCACATGCTTATATATGCTACCATCACAAGTATTTGCAAATCTCTAACTGCAACAATTTAAACTTGTTAGTGGCCATGGCTCTTTCACACCTCCCAAGATAGAGGTATTCATGTGGATTGCTCTTTGTCTAAGGGTTATCACTACAGATATGCTGCAAAGACCAGGCATCCCATTGCCAAATCGGCGTGCTCTTTGCTTGGAAGAAGAGGAAGCCAACGACCACCTGTTCTTGCACTGCCCATGTGCTTTTGCTATTTGGGGTGAATTGCTAGGACTCTTCCATGTGAAGTGGGTTCTTCCAGCCACGGTCACCCTAATCTTCTCATCAATTCAACTTTACCCCTGGACTAAACCAGGGATTCTTCTATGGAAAACAGCGGTGGGAGCTACTATTTGGGGTATATGGATTGAGCGAAATACTAGAATCTTTAGGGAAGAATCCTCCCCAAACATTTTTACTAAGCTCAAATCCTCTATTGTGTTTTGGGCTACCAATCACAAGGTATTCAAAGGACTTCCTCTTGCAGTTTTCCTAAATGATTGGGCCGCAATCTTGTAGCATAACAGCAAAGGCATTTTTCGAAGTTCTTATTGGAGACCTATTGAGCCAGGACATCTCAAACTTAATTTCGATGGTTGCTCGCTAGGAAATCCTGGACCTGTCGGCGTTGGGGCTATCCTCAAGGACAGTGCAGGCACAACCTTAGCATCCCTATCCTAATTTATTGGTCATTCTGAGCCTATGGAGGCCGAGGCAACTGCACTTCTTGAAGGCCTCAAACTTACTCTTCCTTTCCACTTGGAGCCTCTCATCATTGAAGGAGACTCCAAGAATGTTATTGCTTGGGCTTCAAAATCTTCTCCCCACCATGGAATCTTGCTCATATTTTTGATGAAATTCACTATTTGCAGGGATATGTGCGCCTCATGGAGGCATATCTGGAGGGAAAGAAGCCAAGTAGTGGACTCTCTCGCTAAAGATGGAACAACATTAGATGGTGCTTAATTTTTTGGGATCAACATCTTTTTGCCTGTTGCTTTGTTACTGTCACTGTAACCTTTAAAACGATGATTTTGGATTCTACTCTCTCTCACCCCTCCTTTTCATAAGGGTTCTATTGTGTAAGCTTTCCGCCTATGGAAAGCATTTCTCCTCTAAAACTCTATACTTCCCTATCTATATAATTAAAAGTTGACCTTACAAAAAAAAACAATTTAAACTTGCATGACCCACTCTCCCAGTTATGGATTAGAACATAATTCTTCTCTGATTTTACTATATTAATTAGGTCCATATATAGTAGTTGGGCTTGTATAGTTTATTTAGTAAACAAGGCCAACATGGCTAAATTATTAACATAAACCCAACTAACTGAACTCAGATATTTTGCTTTGGTACTATCAATTCACTGATTTCTCATTCATTCAAATCACCAACTTCTGTGGAAATCTGATTAAGGATGCCACTACATTGGAAACTAAGGGACAGTGCTCATTTGATCCGGGGGGCTTATGAGGCACTGTCAGCATGACAGGGGTTTCCTAGCTCATTTTGGGCTGAACATTATTGTCTTAGATTGAAATCCTTTGATTTTCCTGCAAGAATTAGAAATATTTGCCTCCCACTTAACTGTAATAATCTTCTTCAAAAACAGTTTTCTGTGTGTGTGACTAACATTGTAGGCTAGTTTACTATGATGACGTGTAAGTTAGATAGCAAGCAAATCTTTTGAATTGATTACTGAAACTTATTTTTCGTGCTAAATGATGGCTGAGAACTATGCAGGTGTGTTATCTTCCAGAAAATCTGAATAATCAATTTTTCAATATGATAGCGAAAAGAAAAGCTTTCAAGTATGAAATGCTTTGTGAGTACGGGTGGGGAAATAATTACAGCCGAAAGTCATAGGGAATTCACTTTTCTAGTCATCCTCCTAGTATGTATGATCATTCAATTTTTGTGATCATAGCCATAATGAACTTATAACCATGAACATTGCACAGTCTTTATCATAATCTACAAACAAGTTGCAAAATTTAGCTGCTTGTTATTTCTTGGGTTTCCAATTTACTACTTACTATAGAGTGAATTAATTATTCTTTTGTTGCTTATTCTCTCAAAATGTATCTATTTTCCTTCCTTTGTTAGTGATTTATGTTAGAAAGCATTTTTGTTAATATCAGGGAGATGAAATTCATATCACCTCATCATCGTCTCTAGCTCTTTCCCAACCCTCTGGTCCTTATGTAATGGCAATCTCTTCCCATTTTTCTACTTCTTTCAGGCCACACTTTTCTCAGAGAGCGAAGAAAACTCATCTTGATCTCGGGCCATTAGAGCCTCTTACAGAGAATTGCTCAATTAAAAAACCTTTTGAGAAAGAAAAAGCATCCAGTTCTAATCCTTCAGTGCCCCTTGACCCTCTTTCAGCATGCCAAACCAGTGAGAAGGAATCAATAGGACCTGATTCTCCAAAATTTCAAATGCTGCTTTCCCATAATCCAAATTTGCATTCTCTTGGCACTCCTCACAAACTGAAATGACCATCAAAAGTGCAGCCACTGGCTTCTAAAATGCTTGAAAAATCTGAGGAGAAGAGGGTGGAAAAATGTAGAGAATACACCAGTTAAAACTTGTGTCCACTCCAATTGGATTGATGACAAGAACACCGGAGTTGGAGACACCAAAACGATTGAGGCCGGGTTTAGATGACAATGTTATCACAACAGACATTGATTCAACAAAACGGTTGATTAGAACTAGGTCTTTGAACTAAAGTTCTCCAATTAAAAATTCAACTCTGGCATAAGAGGAGAGAAGATCAGGAGTCGATGAAGAAATCATCAAATCTCTTCCCGCTTCTTTTTGGAATTCAGTACGTCTTCCAAAATATGTTGGTGAATGGGTTCTAATTCTTTTAGAGCTCAACTCCTAGACACTTTCCCATTTCCTTTATACTATGTAATGTATATCTGATGATTTTTGATGAGGAAGCATATGGGGGGATTTATTTACAGATTAGAGAGAAGGAGAAGAAAGCGATGGAAGCCAAAGCTGCTGTAGATAAGAGGCAAAGCATGGTGGCTTCCCTGCCTAAACTCTATGACATGATCTGACTCATATTTCAAGGCATGAATTGATCAGTTCTCACCAAACAGGAGCTTGTTCAGAGACCAACTGTGAATCATCCTGAAATTATTGACAGAAGTAAATCCCTTCTCTGTAATCTACATATCTGAATACTAAGTATTACTTGATTTAGGAATTGAGTGTACAGAAATGTTGGACAGAAGTAAATCCCTTCTCTGTAATCAACTCATCACCATTGAATGTAATGTTGGACAATGATGGAGAGTGTGTGAGACCGCAGAAGAGGACATAACCTGATGCTGCGTCTTGTTCTCTCTTCATCATCATTTCATTCAACATTGATGATTGTTGGGACCATGTTTTTCTGAAGTTGTTGGATTTTAACATACTATGCATAACAAAGTTCTTGTGTAAATTCCTGTAGTCTTTGGTCTCATGCTATGATGGTCTGTGTCTGTCTTTACATGTTCTGTTGATGTGTACTAATTTTATAGTGGTTTATAGGGGAAATTGAGAACAGCTAAAGCTGGTACAGGACTGGATGCTTAAAGGATCGAATGGGAATGATGACTCCCTGGCCGGCCGTACTACACAGTTCCGGCTGCAAATCTCGGAAAAAGAGATTGGTTCAGTAGATAGACACATACCATCAGCCAAACTAGTGCCACCGGGATGGAGCTGTAAGCAATGAATGCCGTTACCCGGATTTTGAAAAATATTTCGCGGCGGTTATCGACTCGCTTCGGCTTTCAAGAGCGCAATGGGGATATGCAAGACTTTCTACTTGGTCCGGCGTATAGGTGATCCTTAGAGCCGGGAATTCTATCCCCATGGCTTGCTCAATCTTAGGAATGACCTCTGGTTCATCTTTTGGCCAAGGTGGCTCAGAACAGGGGGCAAAGGGCGAAGACTCCTTTTCAAGCGAAGGAGTTTCTTGAGGGATGATGGTTGGGATGTGAATGAAGAGTAGTTAGCGGTAAAATTCTGCCCTGCCTTTCTTCCTCTTTGAACATGTTCACCAATGTTCTCCCAACATCCTTAACAACTTTATGAGACAAAGACGCTGTGTTAATTGTAGACAAGAATTGGTTCCAGACTGGATCACAGGAAAGATGGCATCCAGTGGGGATTTCTTTGTAGGTTTGTATTTCATAAAAATCTTTTAGGGGGAATGTGTGGTGTTTACAAGCTTAGTCTGTTAATTTTCCCTCTTCTATTTTATATTTTATGAGCTCCATGCAAACTTTTTGAGAATGCCTTGCTTTAACTAAGAACATCCAGTTTTCCGTTATTGAGACTTTATTCTGCTCACTAGTCTTTTCAACAGTAATATCAAACCCTCAATTCCATGTCTTCTCAACAGTAATGGCCAACCCTCAATCTCATCTTCTAGAGTCTCTCTATCCCTCTCTCTATCCCTTGTTTTCTCCTGAAAGTGGTTGCTGTGGCACCAAGAAAAATTAGGCTTACATCTCCTCTACTGTCTGACATAAACAAAGAAACAACTCAATGCTTCAAGTTGTTATCTTCCATTAAGTAGCTCTGTTTAGCTATCTGCATTGTCATCTAATTAGGTTTATTAGCTATTTGTTTGAAGTTTGAATGTGTTTCTTTGGTATATGCAGTGTGTGCGATAACTGATCCAGCATCAGTTCATGCTAGACTTAAGGAAGCACTATGAGACATTATGCCTCAAAACATTGGTATGTGTTACCCAATTGCGAAATGAAATCAGCTGGTTTCTGCTTGGTACATTTCAAAACTAGCTAGCACTGGGACTCAAAAGATTGAGTTTCAGTTGTAGGGGCAGGCCAAGATACGAAGCCCCATCTCATCGTCGATTGTTAGAGCAAAGAGTAGAGGTTCTAAGAAAAGGATCCATCAAGTCCTATTTGTGCTTGTTGATAGCGAATCAATATAGTTGGAATTCTGGGCCCTGTATTTGTATATTCATTGTCATGTGTATTATGTCGATCCATAATGTGTTGTATATTGAATTCAAAAAGGTGACTGAGCAGAATGCATTTAACGGTTTGATATTTACAGATGTATGAAGTAATAAACGGTTTGACCTTCAAAAATACGGAAGCAGGTTTCCAACAGGGTTAGGATAAGGTATTATTATATCTTGGGGTGTTAAATGGGATATTATCATGTTTGTTTTTTAAATGGGAATTTGTCGGATGATTATTTGTACTTTAATATATTAAAATAATATATTGTTTATTATAAAATTTAAATTTGTTGAAATTATCAAATATGAATTCAAATTATTCACAATAGAAAAACATAAATATATTAAAATTTTTATAAGCAACAAAGTGGACAATAATTCCTAATGTATGTTAAAAATCAGAATATCAAAGATTTATTATTCAATTCAATAGATTTAATTATATATTCAACTGACAATAATTTCAATGTATGTCAAAATTAAAATATTAGAATTTTATTATCAAATTCCATAGATTGAATTACATACACTATCAAGTCCTAGATTGCTCCTCATTAGCTTCGTTGAGATTTTTAGAGCTCATTTTAGGTAAATGATGTTTCTTTTCAAATTCAAATTGCTAATTTTGCTTTCAGATTGCATATGTTATTATTAAGAAATGATCTTTTCATTAAAATAGTAAGTGCCCTTCAAAAATTGTGATCAGTTTATTTTTAGATGGATATTAGTGGAGTTATCGAAATTAAATTGATCATTATAAAATAAAAATAATTTCAATTTATCAAAGCGGATTATCAGTATGGCTAGTACTTTTGCAAGTCATGGATGAAAGAGTAGTACTCACTCAACTTCCAAATCCTCAATTCAACGATTCTAACGGTTTTAAACCATATGAACCATGGACATTCACATTTGGATGTGGCCATTTTCATTAACACTTGTTGGTTAGTGATCCTTGATTCTATATTGAGTTGCAAGAGAGAGAAGAGCTGTGTCCAAGTTCTTTAGTAGAGATTCACTATATCGTACACACTAAAGAAAGTTTGCACAGGGGTCAATCTGAGCTTTCTTTAGTAGCGTTTCTATTAATGGTACTATGAAACTTTGGGTACTCCAATCCAATATCCACTGTAGGACCTTTAGTTTCGACCGGTAGGTCAAGCCGGGGTTTGAAACTTAAGCTTGGAAAAGTATTTTTAACGCTTATAGGCAAAAATGACTACCCTCTCATCACCGTTCAAAGTTCATTGTACGGTCACAATTGCTTGGTAACGTTCTATTTTTTATTTTTCTACAAGTCAGAATGATCTGAAATTTGGAGCGTGTGTACATATTAGTGAGGCACACCTAATAAAAAATAAAAAAAATAATTCGTGAAATAACAATTGATAAAAATATCCCCAAAACTTTTGGGGGGTATTTTGGTCAATTTTTTAATGTAAAATATTTTTTGATATTTTTTGTAGATTCACTTATTGTTGATGAGCACACACTTCAAATTTTAGGTTATTCCAATTTGTAAAAAAAAAAAATTGAAAAATGAAACACTACCGGACAATCTTGACCGTGTGATAAACTTTGGACGGTGAAGAGGGTAGGCGAAATCAGTGTTCATTTTCGCCTATAGGCGTTTTGTAGTATTTTCATATATAAATATATTGGGAAAGGTTTCTATGCTTCTCCTACAACAAAGAAGTTCTATCCTCTCCCTACCATCCGACCGTCCAGTTTTGATTTAGAGTGCTACTCATCGTTTGATCTTAGATCCGACGTCTCAATATATTTTATTTTTAAATTTTTAATACAAATTGTATGAATATGAAATTTGGTACGAGCCATCTTCTCATTGGGTTGCACCTATAAAAAATATTAAAAATAAGTTTTTGATAAAATATAATGACCAAAATACCCCTTGAAACTTTCAGGGGATCATTTTATTTTATTGAAAATATTTTTTTATATTTTTTTGCTAGTGTGAGTTTAATAGAGGAATGGACGTCCAAAATTTGGTATCAAAATAGTTTATAGAAAAAAAAGAAAAAAAAGAAAAAAAATTGTGTATAGACATGACATTGCGATTGGAGCAATCTTAGCCCTCCATTCAAAATGGACGGTTGGATAAGAGGGAGGATAAAA